AGCGTGTTCAATACTTTTCCCCTGTGCCATTCCACATTACTACAAATAACCTAATTTCTGGATACTTATGGTTTGATTTCTTTGTATGTATGGATCATTTGGGTTGTTACCGACATCTGGTGAAAATTTCATGTTATTAGTACCTCTAGTAATATATTTACTGAGAAAAATGGTGACGTGTTCAATACTTATTTTACCCGCTGTATATATATATATATGTACAATTTTTTTAAATTTTTTATTTAGCTTGTATTCGGGTGTGCTCAATAGGCCAAGGCGTTATGGTAAGGCAGGTAGTTTTGTTTTGTTGTTGTTATTTTTTTGTTGTCCAAGGTGTTTAAGAGTGTTGGATCCTAGCAAGTGAAGGGAGCAATTTTATCCACCTCCAGGTGCAACGGCAGAGCTAGGAGGTGGCCAATGGTGGCCTTGCCCACCATTGGATTAATCCCCAGTCATTTGAGGAAACTACACTTTATAGTTTTTATGGGTGGACGGTTTACATTTATACTGTATAAAATAGTTATCATCTTGGATTTTGATTTGGCAACCCATCAGTTTTTTTATAGTGACCTTACTTAGACTTATATACAGCCACACACAAAAWTGGAAGTCAGCACTTTGCTTTCTTTCAAGTTATCCTGCTCAGAAGACAGACGGGCATATATGGTGGCAGTCATATATGTCCAATCCTCCATGTCAAACATCCATGCACCTTAAGCCWGTGGTGGGTGCATTGCACAAATTGAATGGAATAATACAGAACATTTACCTCAGTTTTTTAAACTTTTTCTCTAATCAGTAGCAGTTAAAATTTGGCCACATTTTGGGGTTCCAACAGGCTACTATTAAGTTTGTGGCATAACCGTCCTGAAGCCTCAGCTTTACTCATACTGGAAATTTATGGGACATGTTTCAAAGCCAGGTCTGTGCAAGAAAAGTGAGTTAAATTAATTATACTAAATCTGTTAAAAGAAACTGTCCAAATGTTCTGCAAGTATTATGCCAGAAGCTTGATGGCAACAAAAAGTTTGTGGTCGAGGCACAACTTCTTAAGAGACTTTCAACTAAATATTTGCGAGGGTGCATGCCTGTGTTTGAGTTTACATGTACAAATTGAATAATGTGCATGGACTTTTTTTTCTCAGAATCGTTGAAGTTGGGTTGTAGAATCATACCACATTGAAAAAAAAACGAACAAAAAAAACAGTTTGAACAAATCCTTAAAGGACAAAATTTATGAGATATTCATGCACCACAATGAGCATACGCAAACTTATCTTAAACAAGATTTAAGGCCACAGTGCTTTTCTGTTAACTGTAAAGTTTGCATCTTTATGTGAATACACATACAGGGATGCCAGAATAAAATATCATTAAAATGGCTGTCTCTCTTTTAGAATCTTCCAATATTCACCTTACACAGACAAACCCCTGTTAAATTGACACTATGATAAAATGCAATGAATGGAGAAAGTAAGAAAGTAGGGGTTAAAAAAAGAGTAAATTAAGTTATGGAGGACAAAAATGGAGATTGTAAAAAAAAAAAGGTCAAAAGACAAAAGAAGATAAAGATGCTGGGATAAAAGCAGGGATGGGGGTGGGGGTGATCAGGCAGATACATTACAGTGTGATAACCTCTCAGGGTGCGAAACGCCAGATCCCTTTTTGGCCCATTTGTAATGATTAGCATACAGCCTGTCGTGGCTCCACAGATACAGAAACAGGGTTTGTCGCATAAGCAGATGCGGTGTCACCGTCTCTCTCATATTACACTCTCCAGAGAGCTTTATCAGCAACTTCGAGGCACAAGTGCATGTGTGGGTTACAGTATCTACACTGACTTCTCATTGTCTCTCTAAAGCTCAGGTAGGTGTGCAATGGGGGCAAAACGGGGGTCTGATTCCATATTCAWGAGCAGCAGTGGAGCCGTTCTTATCAGGCCGGCTCAGGTTCACGGCTCCATGTTGTCACCACTACACAGCGGAGTGTCTGACCGGCAGCACTGAGCCAGAATAACAGAAGACCGGCGGGAGGTGGGAGGAACAGAAGGTGGAAGAGGAGGTGAAGAAGGAAAAGAGGTGGTGAGGAAGATGAAATGTGGAGGATGTAGAGGGAAACGATGAGTGAAAAGGAGACGGAGGAGAAAGTCTCTTTAGGTCCATGAGTTGAAGGTCTAGTCAACAAAACTTTTTTTCCCCACTCTCCTTGGCAAAACGACTTCATCTGCTTTTAGTTAGACATGTACAACATGTCTACAGCAACTTGAACCCTAGCAGAGATTCCCAGCTGGATTGTGATTTCAGGATGGTTTATACTTTAAGTCACATGTCTTGCTCACACTGTTTAGTGAAAAAAACAGCAACAAAACTTACATCTGTCACTCCCGGTGATACCCTGTCATGTGCATTGCCTCCAGTCAGAACTCTGTCCTGAGGACCTTGTGGCTCACGATGTGTGATCGGTCACAACTAAAATACTCGGTCAGAAAAAGACGTCCAAAATGACGCAATCACTGATCCACTGTCTCACGTTGCATTGAAGTGTAAACCAAGCTTTAGGCTTCGACTGTTTGACATTAAACCACTGAAGTGTTACTTTAGAAGTCAGTTCAGGGACTTTGAGAATGAGACAGAGATGTACCCGAGGACAAATTCCTGAGGGACTCCAACAAGTTTTCCTCAAGAGTTTCTCTACATTTTCACCATCCACTCAGTGTTGGATTGGCAGGCCATTACTCAGAATGGCCTGCATTATAGTCCGCTTCTTGCTTTTGGAGCAGTCTCCGGTTCACTTGACGTTCACACATGCAATTGAACTGCACCAAAGTTCGCTTCAACTGAACCGAGACCTATGTTTGCAGGCAGACTAACTGGACTTTCTAGGCAAACGAACTAGAGTTTGATTAAAGCGGACTAAACAAGCCTGGTGTGAACACACCCTTAGTTCACAGTTTTCTCAGAGTTCCCGATTGCAGCTTTTGGCGTGAATCACTTTTCAGTATTTCCTTTTTTAGAATTATATAAAATCAATTATTTTCCCTATTTAACTTTGTTAATCTGGGCTACTTTTACAACGTCTGTTACTAACATCAAACTGATTACGTTAAATATAAATTTCCATTTGCAATGCAACCAAACAGAAAGAATGCTTTTGCAACCTGCTGCAAATGGAGAACTAAGAGAAAATGTCAATTTAAAGAAACAAATGGAGCGAGCACAACAACGCAGGCTTGGGAACCTGGGGATTGGAACAATGATTCCCATCCTAAAATTAGACTAATTTTTCACCAACTTCTCTCTCTCTCTCTCTGTGTAATTCTGTAATGTAATATGCAGAGCAGGGAGGCTCCCGGGCCCTGTGGGACACGACATGATGAGAGCCAGAACCACACTTGCCTTCCAGCTAGGTAAACAACGATACACACATTCAGCCAACAAAGACACACGCGCATAAAAAAAATGAAAGAAAGAGAAAAATCGTGGGCATGCAAACAAGCGTTTGACAGAGTGAAAACTTGTTAGCAAACAGAGACATGTGCGCACAGAGCAACGCAATCTGCACACACACACACACACACACACACACACACACACACACACACACACACACACA